CCCCAATCCGCAGATCTGATCCATTCTGCGGGGATCGTTGGCTTTCTTTACTACTTTCTTTTTCGTGGAGCGGGTCCAGTGTCACCCCATGTGGTAGGTGTCACCCGGTGCAGGGCACACCCCCCGCACCTGTCTCGGGACGCCTCCAGCCTTCCCTTCAGTCTTGCCCGGTTGTACCGGCTCCTCTCCTGGACTGAAACGGCTTCCTCTGATTTCACTGCACACTGTGAGCTTCTTACCATGTGCATCAGAAGCTGCAGCCAGTCACATACTGTAGAACAGCCTTTCTCAACCAGGGTGCCCAGGCACCCTGGGGTGCTTTGAGGTTTCTTCAGGGGTGCCTTGGCAAAATGTCTAAAAATTGCCCAAAACTTGTATACCAGCCAGCGGGTGGAACAAGCCCCCCTTTTAGTTACACAAAGCCACATTTTCATTGTGCACCATTACCACCTTCTAGCCACCGGCGTCCTGACAACCAATGGCATCATCAGTTGATAAGGAGGATGTCAGTTGCCTGCACAGCATCCTAGTTTGACCCTCCCCCGCCCCTCTCCATCAGTGCTGGGGTCACATTAGCTCAGTGATGGAGGAAAAACTGAGGGAGAGGAGAAACATGGGAATACTAGACAGTACCAGCATGCAAAAGTGTATTTGCTTTGGAAGAATAAATCCCCTCTAATGTTCACTGTCCTACATGTGTGGATGTTGCTGCGTTATATAAAACTATTAGAATAGTCTTTCACATTTTAAAATGGGGTGCCTCGGGACTGTCCATAATTTTAAAGGGTGCCTCGGGACCGTCCATAATTTTAAAGGGGGCCTCGGGACCGTCCATAATTTTAAAGGGTGCCTCGGACTGTCCATAATTTTAAAGGGTGCCTCGGGACTGTCCATAATTTTAAAGGGTGCCTCGGGACTGTCCATAATTTTAAAGGGTGCCTCGGACTGTCCATAATTTTTAAGGGTGCTTCAAGACGGTCCATAATTTTAAAGGGTGCCTCGGACTGTCCATAATTTTTTAAGGGTGCTTCAAGACGGTCCATAATTTTAAAGGGTGCCTTGACTGAAAAAAGGTTTAGAAACACTGCTGTAGAGCTCCACCTCATTTATTGGCTCGAGGATGCTTAGCATCATCTAGTGCACGGGTGTCCAAACTGGTGGCCCTCCAGCTGTTGCCAAACTACAAGTCTCATGAGGCATTGCAAGACTGACAGTTAAAAGCATGACTCCCAAAGCCAGAGGCATGATGGGACTTGTAGTTTGGCAACAAGCTGGAGGGCCACCAGTTTGCCGCCTCTGATCTAGTGCAAGGGTCTCTATATTATGTCCCTCCAGCTGTTGAAGTACTACATGTCCCATCATGCTTCTGCCTCTGGGAGTCTTGCCTGTGGCTGTCAGGGTCTTGCAAGGCCTCATGGGACTCGTATTTTCCTCAACACCTGGAGGGCCATATTTTGGAGACCCCTGATTTATTACAGGTACTTGTATAGCGCCATCAATTTACGCAGCACTTTACATATATATTGTACATTCACATCAGTCACCGCCCCCGAGGAGCGTACAATCTAAGGTCCCTAATTCATATTCATACATACACATACTAGGGACAATTTAGACAGGAGCCAATTCACCTACCACCATGTCTTTGGAGTTTGGGAGGAAACCGGAGTACCTGGAGGAAACCCACACAAGCACAGGGAGAACATGCAAACTCCAGGCAGGTGGTGTTGTGGTTGGGATTTGAACTGACGACCCTAGCACTGCCAGGCGGAAGTGCTAACCATTTAGCCTATATATATATATATTCAAAAGTCCCAGTTTGATGCTGTATATAGCGTCAAGTCAAACTGGGACTTTTTGAGTTTATATAATAAAAGAACAAATATCAAGGAGTGGATGGTGCATTTATTTTTCAGCGTACTCCCCTGCCACATTTATACACTCATCCCAGTGTTTTAACCAATGACTGGAAAGCTTCGGCATAGAAAGATTTGTCAGTACGCCTGAACCATCCTAGGACAGCCGGCTTCACTTCGTCATCGTTGTGTTCATCGTTCCCAGAGAAAGATCCGTCTCTTGTGCGATTTCAAGGCACGTTATGCGTCTATTATCCAGGATCAGGCGTTCCAGGCGCTGATTGTTCACAGGAATGACTGCTGTGGGCTGGGAACCACCACGGCCGGGATTGTCATTGATGGACGTACCGCCATCTTTGAAACATTTCCACCATTCAAATGTCTTACTGCGGCTGAGCGTCTCATCACCGAACTGCGCTTGAAGTCTTCTGTAGATATTGGCGGGTTTTACACTTTTGTTCACAAGAAACTTTCATCACCACACGCTGTCCCACGCACGCACTAACACTCTTGTCTGCCATCTTGATTAACGGTCTCTGGACTGGCCCACGACATGTGCGCCGCCTATCAGTAATCGGACACACTTGCCACCTACTACTGGGTGTAGTACCGCCACGCTAGCATCCCTTTTTATATACTGTAAATTTAAACGTCCCTGGTGTGACTTGAACACCCCTCGTATACATACACTATAAGTGCCAAAAAGGTATTGGCCTGCCCACCAAATCATGTGATTCAGGTGTTCCAATCCCTCCATATCATGTGATTCAGGTGTTCCAATCTTCTCCATATCATGTGATTCAGGTATTCCAATCCCCTCCATATCATGTGATTCAGGTGTTCCAATCCCCTCCATATCATGTGATTCAGGTGTTCCAATCCCCTCCATGGACACAGGTGTATACAATCACGCCCCTAGCATGCAGACTGCTTCTACAAACATTGTGAAAAGAATGGGTCGCTCTCAGGAGCTCAGTGGACTCCAAGCGTGGTCCCGTGATAGGTGGCCACCTGGGCAATAAGTCCATCCGTGACATTTCCTGGCTACTAAATATTTCAACGCTCAACTGTTAGTGGGATTATAACAAAGTGGAAGCCAGTGGGAAACAACAGCCACTCAGCCACCAAGTGGTAGGCCACATCACATGACAAGGCGGGGTCAGCGCATGCTGAAGCACACAGTGCGCAGAAGTTTCGCCAACTGTCTGCAGAGTCAATAACTAAAGACCTCCAAACTTGGTGTGGCCTTCAGATGAGCCCAACAACAGTGCGTAGAGAGCTTCATGGAATGGGTTTTTCCATGGCCGAGCAGCTGCATCCAAGCCTTCCATCACCAAGTGCAATGCAAAGCGTTGGATGCCGTGGTGTAAAGCACGCCGCTACGAGTCTAGAGCAGGGGAGACGTGTTCTCTGGAGTGACCAATCACGCTTTCTCTGCCTGGCAATCTGATGGACATGTCTGGGTTTGGTGGTGGCCAGAGAGAACGGTACTTTGCAGTGTGCAAGTGTAAAGTTTGGTGGAGGGGGGGATTATGGTGTGTGGGGTTGTTTTTCAGGGGTTGGGCTTGGACCCCCTAGTTCCAGTGAAGGAAACTCTTAAGGTGACATTTTGGACAATTTCATGCTCCCAACTTTGTGGGAGGAGTTTGGGGATGGCCTCTTCCTGTTCCAACATGACTGCACACCAGTGCACAAAGCAAGGTCCATAAAGACATGGAGGAACCAGTTTGGGGTGGAGGAACTTAACTGGCCTTCACAGAGTCCTGACCTCAACCCCATAGAACACCTTTGGGGATGAATTAGAGTGGAGACTGCGAGCCAGGCCTCCTCCCCCGACATCAGTGCCTGACCTGACAAATGTGCTTCTGGAAGAATGGTCCAACCTTCCCATAGACACCCCCTAAACCTTGTGGACGGCCTTCCCAGAAGAGTTGAAGCTGTTATAGCTGCAAAGGGCGGGGCCAACTCAATATTGAACCCTACGAACTAAGACTGGGGGGCCATTATTAACGTTCATGTGTGTGGAAAGGCCCAGCCAACCAATACTTTTGGCAATATGTATATACACACACACACACATATCCCAGAAGGAAATACATTTTTTTTTTTTTTTTTCGCAATCCATATTATATCTATGCGAACTTATTGTCACCATTTGGGACTTTTTAATGGTTTCTGACCCCTTTCCAAGCTTTGGGTCAATAGATACAAGTCAGGTTTCTTAAAACTGTACAGAATAGTTGAGGACCCGGACTGTCTTCACATTAGGAAACTGGGAAGAAGAAGAAACGTAAAGATGGGGGTTATCCCTCAGAGCTATTGGATAGGGCTCAATCAGATACTTCCAGAGATCTCTTAGATTGTAAGCTCCCCAGGATCAAGGGCCCCTCCTAACCCTCTTGTATTGAGCTGTAATTGTCTCCAGTTTTATATTGTAAAGTGCTGAGTAAACTGTTGGCCATTAAATCCTGTATAATAATAACCATAATACTAATGTTGTATATCTCTATCTATCTCCCACCCTTGGCGATTGCATGGGGCCCTC